CCTAAACTCCTGGTACGTGTCTTGAGGTTTATTATTTAACACTCGAACCCAAAACAACTCGAAGCATGACCTAATCTTGCGTAAAAATCCTTAAACTAAAGTGAACCAATATCAAATATCCCCAATCCAACCCAAATCGACCTAAATTGGCCTTGAACATCGTTAAACTGAGCTGAATTAGACTGAAACACCTTAGAATCGTGTTGAACCGATTGAACCAGTCTAAAAATCCTAAAATTGGACTAAATTGGGCTCGAACACTCCTAAATCAAACTAGACTAAGCCAAAAACTCCTTGAATTAGACTGAACTAGGCCTAAAACCCCTAAATAGGACTAAACCAGTCCCAAAACTCCCCAAACCAGACTAAAGTGGGCCTAAAATCCTTTGAACTAGGCCAAAACTATAAAAATTCAATTAAGCCGGTTTGGAATTGCCTAGAACTGGACTGAACCCAATGAAAAAAACTTAGAATTAAGGTGAACAAACTGATATTCCCTGAACTAGATAGGAAATTAAAGAAAAATAATTAAACCAATTAAAACCAGCCCTAAGTTGGCTCATTGAGCCTAGCTAAAACTTAGCTAGCTGAGCCAACTTACACGGACTTGAATGCAATCTAGGTCCCCTTTTTTCACCCAACAACCTGGGTTTTGACCTAGCTTTTTTGCGAATCACACCCGATAGTTTTCAAAAACAAAATTTACCAAAATCAAAGCTCACCTCAATCCTATAGCCCAATCACAGCTTGAAAACCTTCAAATCCAAAACTGATAGAGTTGTTTTCTGGAAACAATTTGGAAAACACTAGTCACAATCATCAAAATTCTTGACCAACTCGAAATGGAACCTGACGGCAATTTCCCTTAAAATCTCAAGCAAAATATCAAAATCTTTCAAATTTTCTTAACGGGTTTGGTAGAATACCCCATTTTACTCCTTTATACGTGGTGTTTGGTAGTGGATTGCAACGATTTAGCTTGGATTTTTCCAGATTTTTCAGTTGGTCGTCAACTAGAAATTCTTCCTCGGTTTCAATTTTAACCTTGCTATTTTCATTTCTTTCTAGATTAACCTTGATCTATTTCAATTTCAATCTCCAATTTCCGGTGCCTTTTCTGCTCTGGTCCTTCCTCTTTATTTTCTTTAAATTTAACCCCTGATAGTTTTAAAAATTTAGCCCTAACTTTATTGATTTCTTATTTGGACCCCTAGTAGTCTTAATTTAAGTAATTAAATCCCTTGCCCTTTCCAATTGACCCTAGATACATCCAATTTGCCCAATTGGGTCCTCACACATAATTAAATTGAATACTAATAAAATTTAAGGCAAGATTGGGGGTATTACAACGATATTCATATAATTTGATAAAATAATGACATAGATTATACAATTAAATGTAAACAGTCATATAATTTAACATTGATATTGTTTTCCTTTAAATAGTGGCAGTGGGAGAAAGGTTTAAAGTTGATCTCTTTTCACGCACGCTCATAAATGACAGTGGAGCCATGTTTATACTTCTAGTTATCAAGCAAGGAGAAGGTGGAGGACATAATATATATATGAAAGATTAATGAAATAGATACTTAATTGCCTACAACAGTGGTGGACTTTCATGCTTAATCACAAGACGGAGCAGGAAAAATTTATTGGTTGTTTAATTTGATTTCACGTAGGATTGTGGCATAGGATTGGAACCCAATTACTTATTCCCTTGGGTGCCTTCAAGAAAGGTGCTGCAAGTATTCTTGTATTGAATCTAGTATTTTCATACAAAAGTCCTTCACTCTACTGACCACTAACTTAATTTCCAAACTGCACGTGGCCCATCTTGAAAGTTATTCAATTTGTATCCCACACGGCTTTGAATTGGAGAAAATTTTTCAAAAAGAAAGAATAATTTTCGGTTATTAGCCACTGGGTCATTCTGGTTGAATTCAGGGGTTTGAATTATTTATATAAAATGAATTTTACTAAAAGGATATAAAAAACTATATAAATTATATATTTGGTGATGTAGATACTTCGATTTTCAAAGTCCCATCAATAATATGAAAAATAAATGGAATTTAACTTTAAAAATTCTTCTGTATTTTAAATTTTATCCCACAAGTTAAATAAGTTTAATTATAAAACATATGATGTAAACTAGGGTATGAAAAACCAAACCAAAAAACCAAATTTAAATTTGGTTTGATATTTTTTAAATTTAGTTTAGTTTAGTTTGGTTTAGAAAAGTAATCCAAAATTATGGTTTTGTTTGGTTTAAAACCAAACCAAACCATTTTAAACCAAAAACTAAAATTTTAAAAATTCTTTATAAAAAGTATTAATACACACATGTACATATATTTATATAAATATATATTTATATGTCTATATATACTTATATGTGTATATACATACACACACATAGATGTACTACATACATATATATATATATATAAATTTTATCTACCCATACAAATATAAATATATACATATGTACATATATTTATATTGTATATAAATATATAGATACATATGTATATAAGTACATACATACATATCTACATGTATATATATATATATATACTTATATGTGTATGTACACACACAAACAAACATACACACACACACACACACACGCATATATATGTATAAATTTTATATATTCATACAAATATAAATATATGTACATGTACATATATTTATATTGTATATAAATATATAAACACATATATATATGTATATATATATACATATACACACGTGCACGCATCCAAGAAATATATGTGAGTGTGTACACACATGTATATATATACACATAAATACGTAAATGTATATATTTATATATTTATGCATGTATGTATATACCTATATATGTGTGTGTGTGTGTGTGTGTGTATGTGTGTGTGTGTACATGCACACTTATGTATTTATATTTACATAAATACATAAATGTATATATTTACATATTTATGCTTGTATGTATATACCCATACACACACACACACATATTATAATATTCATATAAATATATATATATATATATACACACACATGAATATATACATAAATATGTTATGTATGTGTGTGTGTGTGTGTGTGTGTGTATATATGTATATACAAATATATATATATATATATAGATGTACACACACATAATATATACATACATATACATATATATTTAATAATACAAATTAAATAAATAATTTATTTTAAAATTTTTTAATTAATAAAAAATTAAACTTAAAACCAAACCAAACTAAATCAAACTAAACCAAAATTTTAGGTTTGGTTTATAATTAATATTATAAATATTTATAATTTTTTTATATGTATAAAATAATTTTATTATTTATTAAAAAAATAAATAATATTAGAATATTTATACAACGAAGTGAAGATTTCATCACTCCAATAATAAAATTTAAATTCTCTCATTTGATAAATTTTTTATTTTTCTAAATAATAAAATTTTTATTTTAAAATATCTATTAAAAATATTATTTTAAAAATTTTTTATTCCCATTCAAAGATTTTATCATAGCATTCGTCCCTTAAACATATATCTGTTGTTTCACTTACATCACATGTACGATTGCTCTGGGTAACTAACACCTCCGCCTCAAAATTTGACATCAACCGCGAATTTCAAATCTGCAAGGGGCAAAGAGCATCGGCCCCCTATTTTTGAAAACTCTATCTTCCACAACGACTTAAGTAAACAGTGTTGACCGACTAAATGGCTACGCTTTCCTATCTTCCACAACGACTTAAGTAAACAGCGTTGACCGACCAAATGGCTACGCTTTCATTCAGGGAATCATCATTCTAGACCATATGTCAAGTCTCCCAAATGGACTAATTAAGGGCATGTTTGGTTTATAAAAATATTTTTCATTTTCCTTTTCTTTATTCATTTGGTAAAAATAATTTTCATTTTTAAATTTTTTAAAATGATGAAAATGTGTTTGGTTTAATTTACCATTTTTATTTTCAAAAATGAAAATAGTGAAAATGCATTTGTATACCAATTTTCAATAAATTGAAAAGAAAGATTTAATTGAATGAAATTAAAATTTTTAAAATCTTTGATAAGATTTTAAGTGAACAAATCAGAATATTTTGGAATTAAATAGAGATTTGAAAATTTTAATGATTAGACTGAATAATAAAAACAAATAAGAAATTAGATTGCAATTACTTTTTTTATTGTTCATTGTCCCTGGCCCCTCCCCTCATCTGCATTGAGCAGGGGTGAACTAGGCCACCACGTCGCCATCGTCTCCTTCTTCCCGTTGTTGGTTTGAACAGTAAAAGAGACGAGCCCCACTGTGCCACCACTGTCTCCTCTCGTGCAGCTGCCTGTTGCAACTACTTTTGCGCCGCCTGCTCTTTTCTCTCTCTCTTCCCCAATCTACCTAGGCGGTTAAATTCAACAATCTCGCCACATCAAACCACCAATCTCCTTCCGTCAATGTCTTTTCCTGCTGATCTCCTTCCTGTTGCCTGATTGCTCTCTCTTTCCCTCCCTGATTGATCTCTCCCTCAATTCTGGATTTGTTTCCTCCCGATTGCTCTCTCCCTCCATTCCTGAAATAATCTTTATGAAACTCTCTCCCTCCCTAAAACTCTATCCCTCAAACCCATTCTAGAAACTCTCCCACTCTCAGCTCGATTACTCGGTTGCTGCAATCTGAATTCAGCCATTGAAGTAAATCACGAAGGATTTGGGGAGAAGAGGATGAACAGTAGACCAAGGAAACTGTATGCAAAAAAAACACTGAAAATTGTATTAATTACCATTCTGTCGCTGCGTTTTCACTTTCGACAAAAAACAGAGAAAATAATTTTTTATTGATTTCTAGTTTCTACCTATTTTTAGAAAAAATCTCTAAATATGAAAATGAAAACAGCTTACCAAACATGTTTTCAAGACTGTTTTCTACTTTTCTTGAAAATGAAAACAGAAAATAGCCTAAGCAAACAGCCCTAACATTCTAGACCACATGTCAAGAGTCCCACAGATGGACTAATTAAGATGGAAAAAGACCCTTTTCTTAATTTCTAATATTGTAAATTAAAATATTAAAATTATTTTTGGTCTCACATTTTTCATAATATATATCTATCACCCTCTTAAATTGCTTTCCTCACATTGTTCCAGTTGTTGGCATTCCTTAGCTTTGGCTTCACGGGTCTATCTAGAAAGTGGAACCAATTTTTCTGCATACAACAGGATCACCAAAAGACATCATAATGCTGAACCCGAGCTTTAGTCAAGTCTTAATCAAAATAATATAGCATTTATGAGATTCATGTATAAATGTAATGGATCTACCCTCTCTCCTTTTTAACTTAAATCTCTCATTAGCTTAACTTTCTGATATAAAACAAATCATATGGTTGCTAAAAATTTTTAAATTCATTAACCTTTTGATTACATATATAGATTTTTTATTTAATTTACGGAGATATGATGTAACAATACAACATCAGAACCGTTCTAACTTCCATCTCTTTACATTTCATACGATATTACACACACACACACACAACACATACATATATATGGTCCCCAAAAGCCAAACAAGTCGTATCTGGACTGGAGTCCAGAGTTCAGGCGTTCAGGCCTTTTCTTTATAGCTATTCTCTGTCCCGTAAACATTTAGGTGAGAGCTAAAGTCTGCCAACCAACCATGGATGAGACAAACCCAGACAGCAAGAAGAAGACGATGAGGCTCCTTCTCATCTTCAACGCCGTCCTCCTTGCCGTGGTAACTGCGGAGGCCCGCTGATTATGCGGCTCTACTTCATCCATGGAGGCAAGCGCGTCTGGCTCTCCAGCTGGCTCGAGACCGGCGGCTGGCCCATCAACTTCATCCCCCTCGTCATCACCTATCTCCACCGCCGCTCCAGGTAAGAACTTGGTTGTTTGCCATCCCCACGATACTTAAGGCTCCTAGGTTATAAAATTTTAGATTTTTCAAAATTTAAAATAATGACGGATAAAAATTAAAACATTTTTAGAATATATATTGTGAATTTTCAACCTTTTAACATTAGACATCCTTTGTTTTCAAAATTTTTAAATTTTATTTTGAACAAAATAACTTTTTTTCTTCAAAAATGCAAAAGAAAATTTTAAAAAATCATGTAACCAAGTAAATTATATCGACGGTAAAGTATATCGTACTTATCTGAATAATTTAATTAGATGATCAATCGGCGTTGTGCTTGTTTAGGGAGGGCCCGCGGGCCAAACTCTTCTTCATGAGGCCGCCGGTGTTCCTGGCGGCGGCTGTGATCGGGGCCCTCACGGGGTGACGCCTTCATCTACGCCAATGGAGTGTCTCGGCTCCCTGTCTCGACCTCGACCCTGATCATCGCCTCGCAGCTCAGCTTCACGGCGCTCTTCGCGTACCTTTTGGTGAAGCAGAGTTCACGGCGTACTCGATAAATGCTGTGGTTTTGCTGACGATTGGACCGGGCGTCTTGGCTCTCCACGCGAGCAGTGATCGGCCCAAGGGGGAGTCCTGTAGGGAGTACTACTTGGGCTTCTTCATGATCATCGGGGAGGCGGCGCTCTACGGGCTTATACTTCCCATGGTGGAGATGACGTACAAGAGGGCGAAGCAGGCGATTACGTACACCCTAGTGATGGAGATTCAGCTGGTTATGTGCTTCTTTGCCACCGTGGTGTGCACTATCGGCATGCTAATCAACGATGATTTCAAGGTAATTAAAGACTCTCTCGCTCTCTCACACGCACGCACGCAGGAGCAGGGGTAATTTCTTTCTAACTGAACCACACACACACACACACCCCGCGGGAGCGGTGGTAATTTCTTTCTAATTGATCCACCCAGGGATGTACACCAACCATGGCAAATTCAGATAAAGTAAAACCCCCCTCTCCCCTTCTTTATATATATATATATATATATATATAAAGAAGGGGAGAGGGGGTTTTACTTTATCTGAATTTGCCAAGATCTTTCATATATATATATATATATATATATATGAAAGATCAATTTACATCGATGTAAATATAAAATATTTACGTTAAATCTTTTACTATTAATTTGGTTAAAATTAATGGATGAGATTAATTAACTGTAAATTAATTATTAAAAATTATTAGAAGACAGCTGTAATTAATTCTTCATCATTGATTTTTATCAAATCAACGGTATAAGATTTAGTGTAAATTTTTTTTCACTTATACTTGATGTCAATTAATCCCTTATATATATATATATATATATATATATAAAACTAAAGTCCAAAGAAAAAAAATTTACCCTAAAATGTGTTGGAAAGTACGAACTCTTGTAAAATTAAAGTGGAAGTCTCACTCAACTTGACTCGGAGGTGAAAACCAGTCTCTAAAGTCACACCCTACAGAAAGGCCCATCTTAACCAAGTTATCTGCCACTTGATTAGCTTCCCTATACATGTATTATTTCTACTTACTAGTCTTACTCTAATAATAGTCTTATCCTAAAGACAATTGAAACACAACTGCCCATGCTTGTTGATTTCCTCTGGTCAAATCACAAAGAGGTTTGAAATCTACTTACAAAACCACTTCCTAATAGCTTTATTCCAAACCATCTTTAATTCTTCTCAAGCTCCCAAAGACTTAGTTTTAAGAGCGTTCGCGTTACTCACAAATTTAGAGAAGCCTCTAATCCATGCTCTTTTCTGATCTCGGATAATGCCTCTATAATTGGCCAAATGGCATCTAAGAGTGGCTGCACCATTAGTGTTGAGCTTAAATCACTTAGGATCTAGCGGGATCGAAGAGATCCTATGTCTCCTAGTGGATTGCAATCTAACCCTTCGACTGTGTCTAGAGTATTAGCAAGCCATAACACACCACTTAATCGCCTTTAAAGGGTCTAAAGGGCGTTAAAAGTTCTTATAAAAAATATTCTTGTTCTTCTAGTTCCAAATACTCCAGAAAATGATAGCCCATTGGTCCACCCAATAGAAATCCGAAGACTCCCTCCTTGATAAGAGGTTGGCTTTGCATCAATCCATAAGCTCCAAAGAGAAGAAGGTAGGTCTTAGATAAAAATGAACAAGTTGAGTCCAGATCCTAACTGCCACTGGACAATCACTTAGAGCTTGCTCAATACTATGTTAGGAGCTCCACACTCACTACATCCAAAGTCACAAGAACTCCATTTAGCTCTCTTCAAATTCATTAAAAGCTTCCCGTGTAATGTGAGCCATGAGAAAGTTTTAACCCTTTTTAGAACAGGAAGCTTTCGCATTCTATCCTAGAGTCAAGAGGTGGTAGCACATTATCACACCGAATCAAGTTGTAGGCACTTTAGACACTAAAGGAGCTATCACTCACCCTAGCCAAGCAATCACATCACGACCTAACTCTAGAGTTTGGGGAGGGATGGCCCAAATCTTGGGTATCAAGGAGGGGTTTACTAAGTCCACAAACCTTCTCTAGTCCTAATTTCCATGTCAACCACTGTGTGACCCAAATTCCTCTCCATAAGTTCACAACTAAAATCAACAAGTCTACATCCTAGCTTAATCCAAAAGTCATGCCAAAGTTCTGCTATTCTTTTGTTGCCTAGCCTCCAAAACTTGAATTTGTCCACCAACATCCAACCCCTGGCAATGTCTCTTTAGAGCTTAGAATCTAAAGCCTCAACCGTGATAGTATGTGCCCAATCGAGCCCCTTGCCATATTTTCCCCTTAGGACCTCAGGGAGCTTCCCTTTTCTCTCTAATACACTAATTAAGCTTCATAATACAAGTTCATTCATCACTTGGAGGTCTTTAATCCCTAGGCCCCCTTGATCCAAAGATCCTTCCAAGCTATCAAGTGGGTTTTCTTGGCTTCCTTCTCATGACCCCTTGAATAAAGTTCCTTTGAGCCCTTTCCAAATTGCAAATGATGGATTTCAGAAGCAGATCAACCATTATAGGGCAGATACGAATGGCCCAAAGTAGATTTGGCTAAAGTTACTCTACCTACCATGGAAAGATGGTTGAGCTTCCATCATACTAGTCACCTCTTGACCTTCTCGACAATATAATAAAAGGCCCCTCTATTATATCTCCCCTGCACAATAGGAACACCCAAAAGTATTATTAGATTTTGAAAACCTAAAGAAGCAAGTAATTTGATTCCTTATATTTTAGTCCACATTTCTAGAAAAAAAATGTTGGTTTTCCTCTTGTTAACCTTCTGGCCTGATAACAAACAAAATTCCTTTTAACAATGAAGCATACCCGAACTTAATCCACGAAAGCCTAACCAAAAAAAGAGAAGATCATTCACGAACATAAGATGCAAAATTTGAGGGCCATCCCTACTTGCTCTTATAAGATTCCAGTTACAATCTGACACCCTAGTCTCATCATTAGAGAAAGTTTCTCCATACGCAAGACAAAGATTAAGGAGAAAGTAGACCCCCTTGCCTAATGTCCCTACTAGGATTAAATTCCTCAATAATACCTTCACTTTAGAGCATACTAAATGATGTAGAAGAGATACAATTCATAATCATCTCTCGAAGTTCCTTGGGCAAGCCCACTTCTCTAAGCACCAACTCAATGAAGGACCATCTCAACCTGTAATTACACTTTCTCCATATTGACCTTGATGGCAAAAAAACCCTTATGTCCCTGCATTCTTTTCATAGTATGGAAGAGCTCTCTGGCAATAATGATGTTGTCCTGAATAATGATGTTGTCCTGGATATATCTACCCGAAACAAAATTAGATTGAAAAGTGGAGATGATCTTAGGAACAATAGGCTTAATTCTATTGATTATGACTTCAGCAATGCCTTTATATAGCACACTGTAGAGAAAGATGGGCCTGAACTACATGATTCTTTCTGGTCTTTCCACCCTGGGAATGAGCACCAGAAAAGTATAACTGATAGGTCTGACATCCTTCTTATTTTCCAAAACTCTTCTAACAAAATCTATAATCTGATTATCAACAATAGACCAGGCATAACGTAAAACGATGCTAGAAAGCCATCTGGGCGTGGGGCCTTGAGAGAGCTTAAAGGAAAGAAAGCCAATCTAATAAAATTGTGTGGTGATCTGAGAACTGGACTCTTTGAATAACTTTAACCACCACTTCTTAAAACCTGATTACCAATTGGAACTAGCAAGGACTCTGTCTAGCCAATCAAAAATTTTGTCCTATCCACTAATTTGCGGACCTTTCCATGTGAACTTGCTACTCAAAGCTGCAAGATCAATAAGCCCAATCCTATCAATCCTTTCCTTAAAAATATTAGCTCTCCTCCAATTGAAAGGCCTCCTCCCTTTTTCTCATTAGTCAAATGGACGTCGTTGAAGTCCCTTGCCACCAACTAGTCCCTTTTAATGCTAGAGGCAATGTTCTCCAACTTGAGCCAAAGCTCTCTTCTCAACTTATCTTCTCAATTGGTTATAAATCGCAGTGAAAAAGCCATGATTGATCCTTTTCCAAAGGCAACTCCATATGGATGAATCGTCTATCCGATAATAGAACCCTAGACCCACTTTATCTTTCTTCCAAGCAACAAAAATGTCACCTACGAGGATTTTGCCCTCTACAAAGCTGTGACCATCAAAATCCAAAAGATTGAGAAATCAAACCAGCCTTGAAGGATGGACCCTAAGCTCTAAAAAAGCCAAAATCTCCACTTTATTCCCCAAGAGAAATAACTTGACATTTCTAAGGAATGCTTCACTCCCTGCACCATGGATGTTCCAAATAAGAACACTCTAAGTTGCCTTGTCCATTGGAAGATTACAAAAATCATGGATAGGAACCAATCACCCAGTTAGCATTTGGGATGTAGAAACTACTAGGGGTGTTCATGGTTCAGTTTTTTACAGTTTTTTTACAAAATTTATATTGTACTAATTTATTTGGTTTTTTGAAATTAAAACCAAATCACACTTTTTGGTACTAGTACCAATCCTTTTGATTTCGTTTGGTTTCAGTATAGTATAGTTTGGTTTAATTCAGTTTTTTAGTATTAAGTTATTTTTTATTCTAACCAATCAAATCAAATAATATAAAATAATGAGTACAAATACTTTTGAATAAATAAGTAAACAAATTTAAGTAGATAACTTAAATCTAGTAAATAAATAAATGGACAAAGAGATAAAGAGACTTATAAAATAAATAAAGAGGTATATAATATAATTTAACCAAATACAATAACACTATATTTATTATTTTAAAATTAAGAGAGACTTAAAAGTAAGAAGAAAAACGGAAGAGAAAAAAGAGATTAAGTTATTATTTCACTTTATTTTATTACCTTTCCGCCTGCATTGGCCATAAATAATTGGCTAATAAATAAATTTAGTATAGGACAACCAATGGGGAAGAATATTAACTATAATGAATAAAATAATCAATTAAAGTAAGACATTTCTATATTATTCTATTAGATTGTCTCATTTTCACGAGCTTACGAGGGCAAGACCTTCCTAAAATTTACTCATATTTGATAATTGGTATCATTGAATTCAAAAAATTGTTACCATGGACTTATACAGACTTGTAAGGTATATTTTTTAATAGAAGAAGGTTTTATAATCTCCAACAAAAAGTTAATTAACAGGAAAAATCTTACAGTTAATTCATACAAAATGGGAAAGGAGAAGGAAATGTGAGAGAGATCAGGTTAGGTAAATGGCAGTAGAAGAAGGAAATGAAAGGGGATTGTGAGATTTTTGCATGAGAGAGGAGAGTGTTAGGGTTGGAAACAAAATTTTGTATATGCATATCTTCTCTTTTTATAATTTAACCTCTTAATTTACAATTTCTCTTCATATAAGTCACCATTTTTTTAAATTTTTTAATTTATTATTAAATTATTCTTCATCTTTAGAAATTTAAATATTTTATATAAAATTTAAATAATGTAATAAATTATTATATATAATATTCGATTCGGTATGATTTTTTATTAATTTATTATATATAAAATCTAAATTATACCAAAATGTTCAGTAAAATATTATTTAATACTAAAAATGTATAACATTCAAAAAAAAAAAAAAAATTTTAACTTCTAATACAGTACAATGCCATATAATTTAGTTAAATTTGATTTAATTTTTAAAATTATAAACATTCCTAGAAACTGCTTTCCCTTCCCTTTTATCAAGAGTAGCCAATTCATGTAAACTAGACCCATCCGGATCCCCAGACAAACTCGAATCAGGGGGCTTAGAACAAATTGGACGTTCACTTGGTTAGGCAGGTCAGCCTTGACCAAACCAACCCGAAAAATAAAAAAATTGCTGGGGCAGTACTCCACTGGGCAACACCCAGCATCAAACTAACCACAGGGACAGGCCCCCTTGCCCGACTGCTTCGGTCATGCGCAACTCCTATTTTTCCCCTTTTCGTGCAAGATCGTTCTCCAATTTCTTCCCTTCCGAAGTCTCGTCTGCCTGTTTCTTCTTTCTTCCTCCGTTGACTTCCACCAAGCCATGCTGTTGACTTTTTCCATTTTTGTCGCTCTCCGCATAGTTGGCACATCTTCCTGGACTTAGACGAAAAAGGCCGACCCCTATTTCGTCCACGTCTTGCTCTGGGTCTGCAACTCCATCCAGCAAGGTGAAACGGGAACCTCTCGGGGACAGCAAGCTTAGATCGCTGGGAAATCGTCGTCGGTCATCCCTGACTCCTTCGTCTACCTTCTCCCTTGCCCTTTTTCGCCGAATCGATTTGTGAACCACCGACTAGGGGGCCTCCGTCGAATTTCGGTGGATCGCTCCTCCATGCTCTGTTTCTGCCCCTGCATGTTCTGCTTCCCCACTGGACACGCCTCCCCGTGTGTCCGAATTTCCCACAGTAAAAACACAGAGAGTGAAGCTCCTTATACTCTATCCTGTAGATTCTGCGCCTGATCTTGAAACGCCCGAGTAGGGGTTGCGCAAATCGACTTCGACTCATAGGCGAGCATACTTTCCTCCAGATTGAGCTTCGGTTGTGGAATCAATTTTAACAGTTTTGCCAATTTTATTACCATAATTGTTAGAGCTTCTCTATGGTGATACTAGATTGGGAAACCTGGCCATCTCACCCAAACTGCCATGGACTTGATAGAAGCGTTTTTGTGTCAAAATCCGGACTCCAATTTTTCACAAGCAAATAATGGTCAAAATCATCCAAGGCCCATCGGAGATGGCCAACTCCAGATCCCTGGCACTGGAGAACTTGACTAGGAAAAAATCTCGTCCAATATCGATGAGATCAATCACCCCTCTTTTGCCCAGGCCCTCTGCAGACAAACCTCCAGAGCTTTGAAACCAATCTTCCGGCCAGGAGTTTCACAATGAGAGATTTCCTCCAAGACCTTTGAAAGTGAGCATCTAAACTCTTACTGAAGATAAACTTTGGGCAAGGGTATTCTCCCCCGTTTCCCTTCCTTGATCGACCAACCTGAGTCCTCCGTAGCCTCATCATCCCCTTCTTTCTCAGACAGCATTTCCCCATGAGACCAAAATATGTTAGCCTCACTCTCAGAGTCGTCCAACCTAGGGCGAACCCCAACCAGCGAATCCCTAGGGATTTTCTCTTGAGCCCTTGTTCCCCACTCATAGAATCTTCATCAACCCCTCTCCAGGATGGCTCCTCACGAGTTGTCCTGACCTCCCACCCAAATGCCTCATGCTCTCCACTTTTTATCTTCTTGATACTCCTCGGCACCAAGTCTTGGCGGGAGTTACTCTCTGGCATTGGACTTCTCCCGTAAACAGAAACAAGCTTTTTTCCAAATCTTTCTCTCTCTTGCTCTTTGAACTATAAACTCTCTCACTGTACTATTCTCTCCCTTTGATGCGACCAAACAAGGAAAATATTTTCCATTCTTTTCTTTTTAAAAAGAAAAAGAAATAATGTCTATATTTTTGCATCATAAATGACAATTTATAACAAAAAAAACTAATTTGGTGCTTGATATTTCGTAGGCAATTCCGAAGGAGGCAAGAAATTTTGGACTGGGTGAAACAACATATTACGTGGTACTGGTGTGCAGTGGCATAATCTGGCAGTGTTTCTACCTGGGTGCGATAGGAGTCACCTTCTCTGCTTCATCCCTACTCTCAGCGATCATCATCGCCATGTTACTCCCTGTTACCGAAATATTAGCTGTAATTTTCTACAGTGAGAAATTTCGAGCAGAAAAAGGAGTTTCCCTTGTTCTTTCTCTTTGGGGATTTGTCTCCTATTTCTATGGCGAGATCAAAGAGAGCAAGGAGATCCAAAATCAAAATCCAGAGACACAAATGCCACAGATCAATCATGCTCCATGATGGATTAACTAGTGTTTTCCTGTGAACATTAGTTTATGGAAGATCCCAAGGATGAGAACTTGTTCGACCCAATTCCGAAGGCTCTTGACATGGAGAAGTAGAAATTCTGGGTAAGGATGGTTCAGCCTTTAATTACCTTTACAATTAAGGTAGCAGAATAAAATCTTAATCAGCTATTATGGTCTTATGTATAATTACCCCAAAATCAGGGGAGTGGATGATAAATTTTCTGAGTCGTATTCCTTTCCTGCAAAATAGGTTTAAGTAATGTCAACTTTTCTTTTCTTATCTAATTGGTCCGAATCATACTTACTCGGTTCACTCTGTGCATTAAGGAATTTCGATCTAGGTCAAGAAACCTAATTTGTGGTGCATTTTTGACCCAGATGGCTATTTGCAGTATCCCGAATTTACTTTGTCCATTTTTAACTTATTTGACTCAATTTGTTATTATAAATCAGTAAACGGTATTAATGGCTGATATTCCAATATTAATTAGACATTATTTATTACAATTGATAGCAATTCTTTTTTTTTGAATAGAATGTAATTAGTCTAGAGTCCAGAGTTTATTAGGTAGTGCATTTATTAAGAATTCTTTTTCAAAATAAAAGTTGAAAATTAAATATTGCAACAGTTTTTTTCAAGGCATATAATGCATTTATTACAAATTCCTTTCCCAAAACCAAGGCTAAAAATTAAACTTTTAATTCTAATAGTTATTTTTTAGAGAATATAATGCATTTATTAAGAACCCATTTTCCAAAATAAATGCTGAAAATAAAATCTTCTAACAGTTTTTTTAAGGAATATAATGTATTTGATAAGAATTTCTTTTCCAAAACAAAGACTAAAATTTAATCTTTATGTTTTAATTTATAATTTAACGGGAATTTATTTTTTTTATAAACCATATCTTATTATTTGATAATTAAAAATTTTAAACATATTTATAGTTAAACATACATACAACAAATATATGAATGACTCATACTATAACTCTTAATAGTACTCCGTCTTGAAAAAATATCCTGAATAAGCCTACCCCTGTACTCCATACCCAAGTAAGTGATGATCTGCGAACTTGTACTTGTCTCGTATTCTATACTGTATCGTGATCCAAATGACTATAGTCTGAATACTCTATAATTTACTTCTTTGGATTATTAAAATACTAAAAGAGCAACTTAAACGTGTATAAAAGCGATCTATTGGCTCTTCTCCACATTTAACAAAGTAATAATTCCTTCCTAAAATAGAATAAGAAAATTACTTTGCTTCATTTGGTTGACATCTTGAAAGAGCACCACTCATGTTTTGTCCTGTGTGTGTGTTGGAGGAGGGGGGGGGGGGGGGGGTGTGGGGGTGTGGGGTTGGTAAAACTAGATTCCACAAAAAAGGATTCTAGTCTATGAAAGCAACCTACCATTTTTGTTTAAAGCGACCTACCGCCAAATAGTGCGCAAATTAAGAAGTAAAAATGGACTAAGTTTTCAAAAATTTAGCTTTGGAACGGAATGTTAACATAATATATGAATATTTGCAAAAGTTAAATGCTTAATTCTAACAAATTTACATTGAAAAACTAAGTTTATGAATTCATATTTCCTAGGCTATTCCGAGGCAAGGAATTTGAATTGGGAAAAACATAGGAAGTGGTCTTTCTTCCTAGGGGCATTAGATGTCATCAGCTTAGAAACCTAGTTGCCACAAACCAGCAGGGTTTAATCCTAAAGGCCACTAACCCAAAGAAATCTTGTAGGCATACATGATATGTTTTAAGTAATGTCAACTTACATTCATGAAGGAATATACATGTATTGTGTACTCGTTATTCATCAAATGATCTAGTTGGGTTCCCTTGAGTACAGATTCTATAATTGTTTGTCCTTATTCAATAGCCTTAATGTTTCAAATCAGATTAATGAGTAATTTTAAGATCATTTGGTCAATTGCAGCCTGAGATTTGTAGGCTTTAAAAGGTCAGTCTGAAAGAGTTTCTACTTTTATCTTTATGGAAATATATTGAGTAGCCTATCCTATCACTACAAGAAAATAGTCTTATTATAATGACACTTTTTGTTACTATAAGTCCAGATATTCATTATTATAACTTATTATGACAGCAAAAAATGAATTTCCTTATTATAAGTTTTTGTGTAGGAAAGCTTGTCGCAAGAGGTATTTGTAATGAAATTAGTGACTTCGTTACAGATAGTTTATTAACGAATCTAAGTTGGTTAAAATATAAAAATAATTGGTAACTAATTTTTTTGTTACAAAATGGTGATCTTTTTGTGACGCCAAATTTGACATTTTGTTGCAAAAATTTTTTATGCTAAAAAGCCTATCGCAATATGTTACTGCAACAAAATATTTATATTCGTTACAAAATAATTTAGTAACAAAGTTGGACAATTAGTGGCAACTTTCATCATTATGTAAAGTAGTCTTTTTGTAACGAATACTTGATAACTTTGTTACTATAAGTTTTTGTGTCAAAAAAACTCATTGCCATATGTTCTTGTAATGGTTTGTTTTTTTGGTTACATATTCTTTAATATGAGATTTTCTTAATTAGTAACAAATTTAGATGTTACAAGTTCATGTGATTTTGTTACAATAAATTTATTGCATAAAATTTGAATTTTGCCAACATTAACATGACGAAGCTGGTTTGCTTACAATTTTGCACAACACAAATGACCTTGAAATGTTTAAATACCATAGTTAAAATCCTTTTTTAATAGTTGTTCTGTTTCAATACCTGCTAATATTTCATAAGCATTTTATAAGCATTTCAATACTTGTTAACATTTCATAAGTATTTCCATAACACTTGTATATATGATAATAACTTTTAGTACTTGTTCTATTTGAATACCTATTCCAAGTACCAATTTACATGCCATACTAGAAATTATAATACAAAATATGCTTCCTACCAATTAAGTCAATGTCCTAGTACAAAAAATAATTTGCAATCCCTTTAGGAAAATATTGTAGTATGTTAATAAATACAACTACAAAAAACTTTTCCAAAAACAAACATTAACCCCTACAAAAATTCATTGAAATTTCAAAATGCCATGCTGCTGGTACGCAAAGCAAAAGCTGAAACACTCCAAAACCTGCAAAGTAAGGGAAGACATATTAATATTTTGCATATAAAATAGTGTTATTAAAACAAAACATAGAGAATTCTCTTGATACAGATATAGTAGAAGATCCCAAAGATATAGATTTGAAAGAAAAAGGCTTTTCCCATGAGAAAGAAGGATTATTTATTGAAATTATACTTTGATGCATACAGTGAAATGTTGATATGTATAATATTAATTGATAGTAAAAGGGTTTTTTTTTTTTTTTTATACAATTTACTTGTATAGTAAGAGAAATTTTGTCTTACAAAAGATAAAAAAGCTAAGTCAACATAATACCGTTAAACCTTTCTTCTATGTTTGTTAAATTTATAATACATTTGGGAATATATTTATAATGTGAAAGGGGTTTTGTGCCAATGCTTTTATTATTTATTTACAATTTTTTTAAAAAATTTTTAGCAAAATCTTCCCTAAACAATTATGTAAATTCTAACAGAGAGCCTAGGAAGTTATATATATACAAAAAATATACAATCTAAACAAGGGTGGCACTTGGGTAGCAATGTTATGATGCTATTCTTTATATATATATATATATATATATATATAGTATGAGGTTGAAAATAGCAAGTTAATCAGATAATAAGTTTCATGGAGACTCAAGTAGCATCAACCAACAAAATGAAGATCATAAGAGACAAAATGTGACTTTTGTTTTTCATTTCAGCAAAAAATAAAATGTCTATGAAGTTGCTTGTAGTTTCAAAATAAGGATGATAATGATATTCCCTCCAAGTTTAAGCAAGTTGGCCAGAATTCTCACCATTCCATTAAACAATTTTCCTATCTGTCACAATTTTCACCTACCCAAGACATTATACCTCACTATTCAAAATTGAGTATGTCAACTTGATCTTTTATTTGTTCTAAAGTCCCTAGCTGAGACTACTCAAAATATTTTATGTTATGTTGGCAAATTATTTTCTTTAATTACATGCATGAGCATAAATTCTTAATTGACAAATTGTTTTCCCTTAATTATATGCATTTAGTATAAAATTCTAAACTAGTAAAGTTTAGAGCAGGGGGCATACTTACATTTGTAGTGCCCACAAAGTGGCACTACCATCAAAATTTGAAACAGGGCCAACAAAAGTAAAGGGCCATGTAATTACCTAGACAAATGTGAATATGAGACATCAGTGAAATAGTCTAAAAAATATGTATGATACAGAACTATAAGGAGACATACGAATATAAGTACATGTCCAAAAATGAGTTTTCTACGAGAAAATACCAATCATTTATTATACCATTGATAATGTAATCAATTTAGGAGTTGAATGAAGGGTGTCCACAGATGCTTAGCAACATTTTCTTGATTTCATCATGGCCATTTTTTAAACCTTCTATTTCTGTATCTTGCTTTTGATGCTTAGATCTAATTAGTTCTTCATGTGATTTGATCAAAGCAATGGCCTCTTGTAGCTCATTCTCTATTTTGTTTAACTGTTGCTGAACTGCCTACAGCTGTAATGGCTCAGAACTCGCCCGCTTACTACGTTTAGTCGGCAAGACTCAATATTCCATGCCCTTCTCGTAGCCTGCTCTTGCACCTGATATTTGTTGCAAACTTTTGCATGACATGGACGAATCAACGTCTTCACCCTTATCATTAATCATTCTATTCATTTCAGAGTAGCATTCATACCAAATTGAAGTTTGGCATCTGTTTGACTAACATAAACAGGCACATTTGATGCAATAAAAAGTAATGCATGACATTTTACTAACACGTAGTCTTGTGACCTCATCGTTCACAAAAGATCCATCCCTTGTTTTATGTGTTGCAACAAATACATCAACTTCACTTCGGGAGTCCACTTCCTTTAAAAT